CCCCGCCAGGAAAGCGAAGAGCCCCGGAACTCTGTCCCCCTTCACTCACTCAAGGAAACAAGGTTTCCTATTACATAGCAGGAGTGATCTCTCTGTGGACTCCCAGTTATCCTCTGGGTCACTGGGTGGCCTTTACCAGGTGCTAGATCTGGAAGGGGTAACAGAGAAACCCATCTGATTGCCTGGGGCTGTCCTCACAAAACTGTGGAATTCTGAGGCGCCTTTTAGTGGCTTAGAGCACGGCAGGCCCTGGAGGCTCCCAGAGCAGAGCCCCTATTGAAGGAAGAACTTGCAGTGTGGCCGGTGGGGGCCCCGTTGTGTCCCCGCACAGAGAATTTCATGTTTGTACTTTCTCAGGAAGCACACATTTCCCTGGTTGGGAGGGAGAAGAGGGCGGCGAGACCCACAGGGAAATTGCTTTCCAGCTCTGTGCCAGGAGGTTGGGTGAGCATGGCCAAGCAGGAAGGTGAGGTCAGGCTGACCCCACAGATATCCAAGATGCCCCTGGTGGTGCATCTAACCTTGAGCAGCAGCTGGTGGGAGAGGTGGTATCAAGTGGCATGACAGAGGGGCCACCCATCAGCTCAACACAGTAGAATGCATGTGCCCCATCCCAGGCACGCATCCCTGCTGGGCCCCGTGGGTAGACGAGACACGCAGAGGGATACCAAGAGAAGGGGGTGGCCCCACGGGCATCTGAAAACTTCTGAAGCTTCTCCTCCATTTGCCCAATTTGGAATTAGAATTGTTTGTGTGATTAGCCAGCCAGGAGGTCAGAGTTCCAGATAATCTCATAGACCCAAAGGTGACTTGCCCACTATCTGGCTACATGTTGTTGAATGAAAATGGGACATATCAGTCTATTTTCAGTTGTTCATCAATCCCTCGCCATATGCAAACACAGCCTACCCAACATGAAAAATTCAGACCTAACAGCAGTGGGTGACAAGCAGGAACCTAGCCCCATCCCCACCACCTTCCCCCAGCGGGGGCCTCAGTAGCTGGAACTGGTAGAGGACTTCTTAGGGGTGTTGGGATGTAGGGGCGAATCTGGGTCCTGGTTTACACTTGCTCTTACCAGGAATCCTGTGACTGACTGGTTTGAAGCGCCTCTTCCTGAATCCTGTTTTTCCTGGGGAGTTTGGCCCAGGCACTAATGGGAATTCTCGGGAGGCTTTGGGACCTTGGTCCAGTCCCTGGAATGTGAGGCTGCAGAGGAGAAGGCTGTCCAGACACCCATAGAAAATTCTGGTCACCTCTTCTCCCCAGGACTGGAGCTGACAGCTCTGTAGTCAGTGTCCTCGGCCAGCATCCCAGGACCTCTCAGTGCCACCCGCAGACAATCCTGAGGCCTCTGCTGGGCCCCAGCCACTCCCCACCTACTGCTTTTCACTAATTCCTGCCCTCTTGGCTTGGAAGGGAGGAGGAAGCCCTGCAGGAAGCCATAGCCTGCAGCCCACCCCAGCCCCCAGCCCTGCCTGTTCTTGCAGGGGTTCTGGCGTCCCCAGAGTCACGCCGCCCTGAGTGGAAACTATTCCTCAGGGCAGCTCTCCTTGGCTTTTCTATCCTCTGAATTATGCATTTTTCTGCCCTTATTTGGTGGTGATTCGGTTGCTGGGCAGCCATCCAGGGCGAGTTTGCAGAGGAAAGCACAGCCAAGCAGCCTGGCTCTGCTCACAGGAGCGCACTCCTCTTCCTGCCCCTCAAGTTTAAGAGGACCCCAGGGGACCAGAGGGATGGACCCTGAGCTGCCTGGGAAGAGAGTTAAAGCTCTGTTTTTCCTTTCAGTCCCCAAGAGAAGAATTCTTTCTCAGATGTTTTGGTAGTTGGAGCATATTTTTGCTATGGCGTTAAGGAGACTTCCCTTCCTGACTCCTCCACTTTCCTGGGAATTTCCTCCCCTCAATCAGAAGCCTCCAGCATTCACTTGCAACCCTTTCTACTCGTTTCTCCCCCCCAAGAAAACAGTGGCGTTCACCTGAGGGTTCCTCACCTGAGCTCACAGCTGCTCAGGGGCTTCCCTGGGAGGTCTGCCCTGAGCCCCTGCCAGGAGCCAGTGTTTGGGGGCTGCTGTTAGGGACTCAAGCCAGCGGAACATTTGCACATGGCTCTGCTGTGCAGGATAGAGCAGGAACCGAGGCCACACCAGTGCACTGGAGGACGGCGCTCTTGCTGAGGGCAGGCCGTGGGCTTCTGAGGCGGAGCTGTGTGCACCGTGGGAAGTCGCCACAGTCTGGGACTGTGGCTTGGCGGGCTGGCAGACGGGCCGCGGGAGGAAGAGCTGCTTTTCCTGGAAAGTGCGGCTTCGGGGAGCGTGGGGTCGGGCATCTTTCTGGCCCAACTATGAAATCCCAAAGGTTTCAGAAGGTTTCTGTGGGATGATGACTTCCCTCTTCCCTTTCCTCAGGGTCGAGTTCCAGAATAAATTCTACAGCGGGACCGGGTTCAAGTTCCTGCCCTTCTCCTTCGAGCACATTCGGGAAGGAAGGTTTGAAGAGTGAGCCCCTCGGGGCTCTGTGACCGCCGCCCTCCCCCACTCCCTCCGTGGGGGTTGGATGTGCTCCTCTTGCCTGCTGGTTGCGATCCCTGGATGTTGGAGCATTTGTGTCATCCCTGCCTCCCTCCCCCAGCCGCCTGTGAGACATTTAGATAGATGCGGCCCTCCCTTGGGTCCCCTGCCACCTCAGCTTTGTGTGTTGTGTTGTAGTGTAGTGGTTTTTCTAGAGAAAAGCTGGGCTCTGGCTGTCACTCGCACCACTGGGCACCAGCCAAGCACAGCCCCTCTCTGTCCCCTGGTGGGGACTGTGTGCATTTACATGTATGTGAGCCCACAGCCCATGGAAGAAGAACCTTTGCCACCCACACCCAGACTCTAAACCCCACCCCCTCCTGCCATTCTAGTTACTGGTTGGCGTGGGGGTGCTCTTGAACACCGCACCCTTGGGTTAGCAGGGGTGGGTCCAAGAAGATGGTATTTCAGTCCTCTGCCACCGGCCTTGTCTTCAGAGCACTTATCAGGAATTCAGCTGGGCCCCACTGTGTCATCATGCATAGATTATCCTTGTCATCCCCAAGGGTCCATAGGTACCCAGTCCCACCTTCCTAACCCCCTACACTCACACTCTTTCCTCCTCCCTCCCAGAACCCCTTTCTCTCCTCCCTTATTTGCACCCTGTATGATATGGCACAGCTGGGAGTGACCCAAAACACGGGTCCTGGCTGGCTGCTTCTCAGGCCATGCGTGGGCCCTGCCACAGGCACGCCCTCTGGGCAAAGGGTTTAAATTGATGCTTTTTCCTGGTGTAGACCCTGAGACCCTTCCCCACCCCCAATCATGAGTCTTGAGTGCAGGGCTGTAGTCATCAAGGGTGGTTCTCTGGCAGGCCTGCCTTGCTCTGCCCATCAGTGCCCCTCCCCACTTCCACACTGAGCCCAAGTCGGGGGCGTGGGGCCCTGGGCAGGGAAGGTCAGCATCATTTATAGTTTGCTGATGGAGGCAACTGGCAGGGCTGGTGGTGAACACCCCCAAGGGGCCAGCTCCCCTGCCACCCTCACACTAGCTGTGGGTCTTAGGGCCTTTTAATCATGCGTTGGCACAGCAGCCCTGACTGCTTCAGCTAAATGGATCCTGTCACCTCCAATGCTGGAGATAATCCCCTGAATTGGCCAGGCCCCAGCCCTCTCCCACCCTGGCTTTTCTAAGTGAGCTCCTTAGGAGCTGCTCACTCCACTCCCAGGCTGGGCTGGCCCTGGGCATGGGCCACCCGTCTCAGTTCCCCAGCTTCACCCTGTGCTGGCCAGCGTGACCTGACCCAGACCTTGTGCGGAGATCCCTCCCTTCTGATGAGCTTTGCTCTGTTTACAGCAGGGCTTAAAGCTGGGTTCTATGTCAGGACCCCTGCCCAAGGCCCTTCTGTTCAGACATTCCTGTGCTGAATAAAGTGTGTTTGACTCTGCGAGAGGCTGCCTGTCTGTGCCCACAGCCCCTGTGTTGCACACCCACTCCCTCCTCCCTGCAGCATTTCTGCTTCTCTCTCTGATCAAAGGCCACAGCTGCAATGGCCCTCGCCAGGCAGTTAGTCCGTGAAATTCTCATCTTATCTCAAGTTTCCCAGGCGCCTTCCCACTCCCATGAGCCAGGGCAGTTTTGCAGACACTGTCCATGGTGGGGAGGGCACTTGGGGACCCATCTTTGTCTCCCCTTCCTGCACTACGTACCCAAATGGAGGCAAGGAGTGGGAGCCTAGGCATCTGCCCACCCTCTCCCTCATAGCCAAGCATGCTCTCCAGGGCTCAGCAGCCTGGCTATTTAGAGCTCTGATGCCCTTGGCCTTGGTGTAAGGGGAGGCTCAGCATGGGGTTCCTCGGGGCAGCTGGAGAATGTGAGGTGCTGAGCTGGGCAGGCAGCTGAAGAGCTGGCAGGCAGGCAGGGTGGGCAGGGAGGGTGCCTTCTCCCTCCTAGCTGCCATGTAAGGCATCCACTTTCTTTCCCACTGTGCTCCACTCTGTTCCTCCCTCCTGGGGCCTCCAGGGCAGGGGCTGTGCAGGAATGTGAGCTGCAGGCTGACAACTGCTGCTTCAGGAGGGGCAGGAAAACCCTATTCACTTCATGCTCCTTATCCCCCCAGCCGCAAACCCTCTCCTCCCTGACAGGCCAGCTGCCCTGGAGTAAACCCTGGGTGCAGTACCCCCACCAGACTCCTCAGAGATGTCCAGAGTAGAAATTCGGGTAAAAGAGCTCTTTTAGCCTCTGCTCTGTTACCGACTCAAAAAGGGAGCCTTAATAGAAATAGATATTTGTAATCAGTGGAATAGAATTGAACTGAAAGTCCAGAAATAAACCCTAACGTTTATGGTTAATTGATTTTCCACAAAGGGGCCAAGACAGTTCACTGGGGGAGAATAGTCTTTGCAACAAATAGTGTTAGTACAACTGGGTATCCACATGCAAAAGAACAAACTTGAACCACAACCCCATACTATATACAAAAATTAATTTAAAATGGATCATGGACCTAAATTTAAGAGTGTAAGAGTTAAAACTAAAACTCGTAGAGGAGATCATGAGAGTACATTGTGACCTTGAGTTAGGCAATGATTTTTAGATATGATACCAAAAGCACAAGTGATTAAAAGAAAGATAAGTTTGGCTTGCAAAATTTTAAAAAATTGTGCTTCAAAGGACAGACTCAAAACCGCTCACACTGGGAGAAAATATTTGCAAATCAGATACGGTTGACCCTTGAACAACATGGGTTTGAATTATGCGGGTCCACTTATACATGGATTTTTTACAATAAATACACAGTCAGCCCTCCATATCCCCAAGTTGAATGGCCAATAAGCCCATGAAAAGTGCTCAATATCATTAGTCCTTAGGGAAATGTAAATCAAAACCATGAGATAACCACATCACACTCACTAAAGAGGCTATAATAAAGAATTACATGGCCGGCCGAGGGGCGCGATGGTTAAGAACTGGCTTGCGACGCCAGAGGGCCCCGGTTTGGATCCCACATATGAGGGCCAGTGACACTACCCTCCACAGCTAAGATGCTAAACAACAACAGCTCAACCTGGAGCTGGGCTGCCGTGAGTCGCCGGCGACGGCGTGGGCTGCAGTCCCTGTGGCAGTGGATTGCCATGGGCTACCGTATGTAGCCTGCAGCCAGCGTGAGCAGCCAGCAGCCGCAGTGAGTGACCATCAAGAAGCCGGCGACTGATCTGCCTCACCCGGGAAGAGCGCAATGATGGTGCCAACTTGGGCCAGTGAAGCAACGTCCTCCACAACTAGACNGTCTTTCCATGACTAATCCAAACCTGAAGAAAACCCAAATCTGAACCCAAGAAACCTCTTCCCCGCCTCCTTATCTTTGATTTTTCTCCTGGCTTAGTTACAAGCCTCCTCAAAGATTCCACTGTTGGTTTTCCTAAATTACAGAGGAGAAAAGTGAGGCGTGTAAGGGGAGCGACATGGTTGGGATTTACTCTTCCCTCCGAGGTTCTTTTAGAGGAATCTGTCCACATTGCTCTCTGGCCTGGCGTTCCTCCTCGCCTCCCTCCTCCCCACCCAGCTGTTGTTTACTGCTAGCCAGGAACTTAGGAGCGCTGCGTGATTCAGAGTGCTGGCTGCTCCCCTGTTCTCAGCTTATCAGCGTTCTCTCTCCCCAGCACACTTCCTCAGCCACTCAGCGTGAGGGAACGTCTATGTAGCCAGCCGGTGGTGACTCACTTTTTCTTGCGTTCTTGGCTTCCTTCCTTTCCTCGTCACTTCTCTTGTATCCTGAACCCCGGGCTTAAGGGAACAGTTACCACCCCACCTTGATTCCTGCCCAAGTGGGGAGCCTGTGGCCGCCTCCCAGGCGGGGTGGGGAGCGGTCAAGGTGCTGGACCAGAACTGTGAGCTGGGGGCCAGGCACAGCAGGATATGAGGAAGGTCGCCTGGGTCTAGGTGGCTTGCAAGGTCATGTTTTGTTGCCAGAAGGATTACTTCTTCCTCAGGCTCCCTTGTGACCTTTGAGGGAAGGAGTCTTCCCATGTCCTCATGAATGAGCCCATGGAAGTGACAAGTGATGAGAGCAGGCTTCAGAATCAGGCCTACCTGAGTTTGAATCCCAGCTCTGCCCACGCTGGCCGGGTGACCCTGAGGAAAGCACTTACCTCTGTGAACCTCACTTTCTGTCATGTGAAAAGAGAGGCTAATATCCAC